GCGTGGCCGTTGGGGTGGCCGTTGGGCGCGCGGCTGTTGGGCGCGTGGCCGTTGGGGTGGCCGTTGGGGTGGCCGTTGGGCACGTGGCTGTTGGGTGCGTGGCCGTTGGGCGCATGGCCGCGGTGCTTGCGGCAGGGCCGCCTGTTTCCCGCACGGCCTCATCCTCGGTCCGTGTGAACCCGGCAGGAGATGCTGCGGAAGAGGATGAGGAGGACGAGGATGAGGAGGATGAGGATGACGAAGACGAAGGTGCCAACCACACGGACGTGAAGGCGAATGCGGATGACCCGCCTGTGAAGAGGACGAAGGTCCAGCAGTGCTGAGTGCGGCGCGGGAAGGCTGCTCAGGGCCCGGAGGGACTTGGCGGCCGCGCTCCACGTAAGTGCTGGGCACAGCGGCGCCTCGCGGGGGCTGAGCTCGGCCGCTTGCTCACCTTCTTGAAGGAAAACGGCCGTTCCTCGCCACTGCTTTGTGTAGGGCCCGGATAAAATGGTGCGTTCGGCATCCGCAACGTGTTTTTTACAGGAAGCAAGTACTGGGCTGGAAAGATTGCAAAGAGTTTTCAGTTAACCAGCTGCCATAGACGAGACACCCTGAGCTTGCAGACCATTATGTTTCAGTGGCTTCTCCTGAATCACAATATTTCTTTATATGACTTAAAATCAAGCTATTTTAAAATAAACTAATAAAATATGGAACCTATTACTTTTTCACATATGGCTTTAAATTGGTATAAGACCCACAAGTCATTTATATGGAGACAGAGTACCATAAGACCACTTTGAATATTCAAAATTATCTAAAAACCCTGAACTATCCCTGAACGATCTTATGAGCCTAAAAGATAGAAGATTGTTTCTGCAAATAATAGAAAAAGTTTATTTTATCTTGTGATGAGTTTATCACTCTTCACTGAAGGACTTTCCAGTTAAAGGGCATAGACTAAGTAGATGGAAGGAGCTGGAAATCCTAGTCCTCAAAATCCCTGATAAGTCAGAAAGCTGACAAGGTGATGTGGTTTATAATAGTTATATTTTAGGCTATTATAAAATACAGCTGTCCACCCTAATCATCCATTTTTCTGAACTGATCTTTGCTTCTTCATGCACAAGTTAAACTTTATATATGCTTCTTCATCACTGCATTTTCACCAGGTTGATTTTTAGGTTCTCTCAGTATCTAACTCAAATAAAGTGAATACCACAGCCTGCATCTGCCTATGCAAAACTCAGCATTACCTCAAAGGGCAAAATATGCAGAGTGAATTTTTATGGTACTATGTTTGCTTGCCATAGTACTATGGTACTATGGCAAGCAAACAAAGTCAGGACAGGAAGTAAGGCTGATATAATCACACTCAACATTGATTACCATAGTTTATTTTAGAGGGGGGAAAATATAAATATTCATGTAACACCTACCTTATATTATGTTCTTGGCTGTGTAAACCAGCATGATCCAGTCATCCTGGTAGCACCCTGCATGCTGCCTTATCAGCACATGATGGGACAAGCTCTTGGATAGTTCTTGCAGGGAGACTGAGGGTTGTAAATGGTACTGTGAGTATTTGTGGTTGGTGCTTCTGTGAACAAGTGCAAAGCATTTGTGAGACTCGGTCTGAACATTTTCCCCACCAGAAATGAACTAGCAAATTAACTGTAAATGTCACTCTATAGTTTCCATGCATTGTAAAACAGCCGGCACAGTTTGTTTCTCAGTGTTATGGAAATAGAACAGATCTTGAGACGTGAATGTCGAGGGCAAAGGGAACAAATTATGAATGTTTTTACTAGCACGAGACCGCCTGCATTCGTTTGAAATGGTGCAAAAAGAGAGATGTCCAAATATCTTTACTGAATTTCTTTTTCAGATTAGAAATTCACACAGGACGTTCCTATTATTGTTTTATAAGATATGACAAAGTCATAACTGAGAAGAAAAAAAACTGTGACTTCAAAGAATTAAAAAGGGACCTAGGATGGGAGAAAAGTGTGCAAAAAAGTTTTGATCTCTTGTCAGGCTGCAAAATCTTAAAAAGAGGTACAACGTTTGCAATGTTCTGTTAGAGCAGATAATGCTGCAGTGGAGGAAGTGGCTTCTCCAAGTGGCAAAGGCCCCATTTCACACGCCAGAGCTAGCCCAGCAGAGCTGCTTTGTGGGGTCTGTGGTGAGCTAAGGACATGTCTCGTGCTCCACGTTCTGCAGCTTGGGAAGATTTTTGTAGAGCTATATATACACCCAGTGCAAAGCTTTTCCTGTTATAAAATAGTTCCCTATCTCCAGACTCGAGTCCTGAACATTAATAGTGTGAACTGGGGGTCCATCAAAAAGCAACGACATTAACATTAGGCTTGAATTTGCTTATATGTATATAGGTTATGCATACATACACACACATATATATAAGCTGGCATGTCACAGGCTGGAAACCCCTGGTGTAAAGCAACCAACCCTAACTTTACTAGTCTGGGAATACATGAGGGTGATGCTCTGACTAATGAGATAGTCTCCTTCCTGTGTCAACCTGGCTCATAGTTACATCTTGTGTTTGAGCTCCAGCAAAGATCAGTGAGCACAGGGTTAAAAACAGCTATTCAGATTTTGTCTTTAAAGAATCATTTCCAGTCTTTTTGTTTGCAGCAAAAATCACCTGTATTAGAAATGACGCACTCTAACACAGAACTTCGTTTTCCTGAAAGCTGCTGCTCCAGGGTAACTGGGCACACAGTCAGGAGCACTTTCTCCCTCCAAGCCTGTTCTCAGAGCTGTGCTCTATACCTTTGCAGGAAGTTGTCTTCTCCAGCAGGCCCACAACCTGCCTCTTCCTTAGAGCCAGGGAACAAGCAGATGGGGCAACAGAGGCAGCTAACTGCAGCACTAACTGCTATCTTGTCTATTTAAGACCATAGCTCTAGACCATGTCTGTCTAAGACCATGCCTCTTCCCATGGCTCTGGGAAAGAAGCTCCAAAGTTCTCTGTATTTGGAAAAACTTGAGAGTTATTATGGAGAATGAAGCAAGATAAAAGCAAAGACGTCTATAAAGCTGTACAAGGAGCAGATTTGAGCAGCCTTGTACACCGATATATGCACATCACCCGTGTCCTGCATTTTATGTAGAGTAGATAGCCTTGTGAAGGACAGATGCTATAAATTGTTGTCTCAGATGCAGTAATGTTTTTTGTACCTGAACCAAAGTTTAGGCTAACACTGATTTGCATTCACCAGATCATTGTACTTACTGCTGAGAGAGAGAGGGGAAGAGAATGCTTAGGACTGAGTATGTAATAACTATCTGCTGCCTTAGTCTGAGGATTGGGAGTCAAGCACAAGTGCCTTCTGTGGCTGTAGCAAGTTCTTCTTTTGACAGAATGAACCTGTACTGCAGAACTAGCTTTAAGTAGCTTTAAGGAGAGCTAAAGCTGAGGCAGTTCTTAGAAATGAGCTACCTGAGAAAGTTAATAAGTGATAGTTCATATGTAGAAAAGATGCATACCTTAACACCTAGTATTTTTAAAAAAACTACTAGAATAACAAACCACTTGTACCACTGATTCCCTAGAGACTATCATTTAAAGACAACCATGGAATGGCAAGAGAAAATAAAGGGGAGTTAAGAGCAAGCGTCCTGCACAAACCAGAGTTTTATTCCAAGGGTATGGCAATCTTTGTACTTTAATGGAAAGAAAAAAGCTTGCAGCTGTACTCCACCACCAAAAGTAACACACTTCATAAGGAACACGCTGTATTGCTACTTACTTAACTCCAGGTGTGAAAGCCTTCAACCTCTGTGCTGGAGCCGCCCTCCGCTGGGAAATGGGGAAGAGGCCCAGCAGCACTTACCGAACGTGGCAGGCATTTCCAAGATGGAAAGGTTCCCCCAGCTGAACAGGAGCAGCTAAGGACCGCACCCAGGCAGCCCCAAGCTAATGCTCAAGTCTGACACAGAGGTTTATTTGGTAACCCAAACGAAATGAAATGAAGGGCAAGTGGCACAGAGATGCACCTTAACTGTGTGTTTTACCTGCTCACCTTGGCAGAAAGCTAAAGCTCTGAACAATTACAAGGCTAGGTTTTTTTTCCCCTGAGGTCTTCATTTCTGCTTCTGCTCTTCACAGCTTCTGCTTTAGAAAGCTGCTCAAGTTCAGCAAGCCAGAAATAACTATTTTCCAGTTTAAAAAAAGGCTTATTTATAGCAGCTTTCCCATCCCTATATGGAAACTGTGGCAGTACATCTTCTCTCCTGCACACCCATGGAAGAGAAATACATAGATGCAAATGAGGAAGCCCTGATCTAAATGCATCCTTCATTAAAGTCATTGCTGTAGAAACACATTTGTGCTATGATCTGTCATGATCAAGTACTATCGCAGTCTTTAAAGAGGTGATAAAATGGTGATTTTGAGCTTGATTATCCTGAATTTTTTTAGAAAATGTCAGTTTGTGTTACAGGCAACCAACATCTGTGATTGAGAACTAATTAGCATGTAGAAGTAGTAAAATTATTTTGGCCTTGATTATCCTAAGGCTTTTAGAAAATGTCAATTTGTGCTGCAGACTACTATCAGCTGTGTTTGAGAGCTAATTAGCCCTGATATTATCTAAAAATTTTCAGTATAATTGAGCAGAAGTAATTTCCCTACCTCTTTAAACAGACATTAAATTGTAAAAACAATTTAGTGATTAATTTTGATAGCCATCCTCATTTATTTACTCTGTAATAAGACTTCCACCCTTGATACTGCATTGGTGACAAAAACCCTGGGAGCATCAGTCCAGCCAGCTTCCCCCTCCTCCCCAGCCAGTTCTTCCACAGTATCACATTAATAGCTTACGCTAATTCTCACACGGCTGCTTCCCATCTCAGACTCTAATTTGCAGATGTAGCACTGGCTCGAATTAGATGATGCATCTTTCTGTACTTAGTTGTAAAGCTCACGGTTTCCAGAAGCTTTAACCTAATAGACTTTTAGTGGAAAAGTCTAGAAATACAAGCCACCATTCCAGAAGTCACTGCTGCTCCCATATCCACACCCAGACAGCGGCTCATTGCGCCAGACAGGCTGATGAATTTACTGATGGCCACATGACTGTACGGCAATGACTTGGGCAGTTCTCCTTATTCTCTATGCCTGAAGCTTCTTTTTAAGCTGTTCTTCTGTAAAGAACTCTATCTAGACAAGACCCAGCAGCTTCTCAGTTTAAGCTTCTTCACTGAATCAATTTTAGAAAAAAAGCGAAAAAAAAAAAAAAAGTCCAGCCAAACATATCTCCTTGTTCCACAGAAGCAGGGAGACTCAGGTTCGTCCAGATAGTCTCAAAACATCAGTCTCAAGCCAGAAAATTAGAGCACAGAGCATAAAAGGCCAACAAAGCATCAACCAGACGGGTTAGAAAACAGTAAGCTACAGCAGCTGCACTAGCAACAAACACACACACAAAAAAACATTAATATTTATCTGCATGACAGACTTGTTTATAAAATACTGAAAAGATTTTATTTTCTAGATAAATGAGGTGGTGATTACTGTAGAGTTAGGAAACAACACAGCTTAAAAGCTCTGACCCCAGATGTTACAAGTCAGAGTTAATTCTTACTCTGGTATATTAGGATGGCAGCTTCTTTCTTTTGTATTGCACTTAGAACTTAAAACCTTGTAAAGACTACGTTGTGTTTTCAAGTCTAGCACCAATGCTGGCATTTGAAACCACAGTCTCAAATTATCTCCAAATGCAAACAGAAAGTTTAAGATGTTTTAAGTACCACGCTTAAATGTAACTACAGTGAAAATAGTGGTCTCTTTCCAAGGCAGGAAGGAACTGGTATTTATCTCCTGGATTCCCTTTGAGTAGTCAGAAGTAGATTAGCATTTACAATGATTAAGTACTGAATAATCACATATAATTGAAATGGCAATCAGAAAGTTTAGTTAATAATCATTTGTGGCCTGCTACTTTGGAAGGCCATACTTCACACTGTTTTTCCACACTTCACATTTGCAAGGTTATTTCCATCATGGCTCAAAAACAGTTTTTAAGAAACAAAAACCACTAACGAAAAAGAAGGGATTTGACATTATTTAGATTGCACGATAATCCAGTGATTAGATGGTATGTCAACAACAGCAAACAGTCTGAAACAACAGTAAGAAACTTAGTTGTGAAAGCGAGCAGATTTTTTTTTCCCCTCATCTCAAATTCCTTGAACAATCTTATCTGTCTTACTACTTGCACAACCTTCCCAACCTACTATCAGTTAATTTTCCTAATATTATAGGCTTTATAAACACATCAGTGCTCCCAGAACACAGTTTTGCACCACTTCTGGAGGGAAGTTAGAGTGGTAATAAATTCGAATTACTTTGTATATCAGGAGATGCCTACAGGTAGGAGAAGGAAGCACTTCTCAGAAGTGTTGTGCAAACTATGGGTCAGTGCCAGCCCAAACAGCTTTGGGCATCACGGGGTAGGGGAGGAGTCGGCGGCTTTCAAGCACCCACTTCTCCTTCCCTGCCTTGTTCCCTCCGAAAAAAAACTGTAGCTTTCTCTCTTCGAAGTTTTACATGTACTTTATTCTTTGCTCCCTGTATTTCTCTTAAATTTAATTTTAAGAAAAAAAATCATTAAAAAACAGCACTGATGTAAATGCAAAGTACTAAAGAAAGAAAAAAAGCAAAGAAGTGTTTTAAGCGCAACTTTTATAATCATGTTTTGATTTTTTTTCTTTTACATTTATGACAAAAGAAGCGTCTCTCCACTGATTTTACTCCAAAAGAAAACATAATAAGTCTTTTTTTTTTGCACAGAGGAATAAGGTCATAGACCAGAAACTTATTTCCCCACAGGACGTTTCAGATGGAGTGTAGCAATTTTGCATCATTAAGGCAAAATGAGGAATGCTTCCATCATGTGTCACATAGCGCTCTCCCATTCTGGTCATTTTGATAGACTCATACTTTAAAAATCTTTTAAATTATTTCCTTTTTTTTTTTTTAATAGAAAACAGTCTGTTCATTACTTAATTGTTTGAAAGAAAAGGCTCTTTCCAGCGTTCATTCAGGACTTCAGTCTTGTGATTCGGTCAGGCATACACATTGCTTCAAAACAGCCATGGAAACTAGAAATTGAATCAAGTGTCAATCAGTTGCAATCTACTGATCTGATTAGAGGCCTTCACAAATGTCTGATGACGATTGCAAATAACAGCCAAGCAGATAGGAATGATGCAATAGCCAACAGTTTTGGGGTCAGCTCTTGTACAGGAATAGAGGAACAAGAACATCTGTAAATACGGTATTAAAAATATTATAGTCCACAGCCAGAAAGGCAATGATAGCAGTCGTACTTTTAAGGAGTGTGTCCATGTGGTTCCTTCCTGTGGCTCCTTGGGGTGTTGCTGGATGTGCTCCAATGCTAGTTTGTTGTAGGTCTCATTGATCTCAAAGACGTAATAAAAAGCTGCAGCACTTGCTAGCAAGTACAACCCCACTCCAATCCATCCCATCCTCTGGCGGAAGTTCATCATTCTCCATGCTCTGCACCTGTGACCAAATGTGAAATACGGATTCAGTACAGTCTGGAGAAACTCTCTTTTTCAGAAGTTGACTTTTTCTAACTTTTCATTACACATTTGTAAAAATGGCAAATGCCCATTTCTGAAGCTCTGAGTTCTCTACACCACAGAGAATTTCATACTAGGATGTCAGCAACAGGCAAAAGTGGTTGCATCTAGTGCCACATCTGTATGTAGTTATGGATAGTTTAGTGCTCACAGGCTATCAAAAAACCCAAACAAAACAGAGACAAATTCTACCAGGCCAAAAGTGCAAGTACTGAATAAACAAAAACAGTAACTTGGTTAAGTTACTTCCTAAGCAGCTATTGGTGTTGGTAGCCACAGGGTGGGGATAATATGGTGGGGAAAGTTACATCATTTATAAGAAAATTTGCAAAGTTCTTACACGTCTACGGGACAAACACTGCTACCTAGCTAATAATATAAATGCTGCTGCCATCTGCGCTATCGCAACACCTGGTTTTATTAAGCTTTATCTTCGGAACGCCCTTCTAGGAACTTTGTAAAAAGGTTCAAGTGTTTCATTTGCCCATGGGAATATACATACATAAGGCACATACTTGTCCCAGCTGTATTTTTGTGTTAACCCATGTGAACAGTCGCAGCACGCCTGCTGCAGGAATGAAGCTGCACACACGTATCTAACTGATGGGGCGCAGCACAAACCAGCAACCAGGCGCATTTTCCAGGGGAAGCCAGCGTTACTGAAGAACGACGCGCTACAGGACTCCGCTGCAGTCACTTGGAGCTCTCTGCCCAGCTGAACAGTTCTCAGCGACTCGAGACACTGCTCAAACTAAACACACAATCAGGAGCACTCCAGCCCACACAAAATGCCTACCCCAGGAATGTTTAATGTGTACAAAGCAATAACTATTAACAGAAGTACAAAGGAAAGCTCAGCATTCATGACACCCAGTCATTGCACAATCAAGACCACGCTAATCCACCCGGGCAGCAATCTTAAAAAGACTAGATCCTTTTGCTTTTGTTGAGGATGTCCCCGCTCCTGAGCTGAAGGAATCTCAGCGGGGTAGCAACAGAGAGGTTCTGGCCCTCGCTTTAGTGGTGGCTAAAAAATTGGTATGTGTGGAGTGCAAATAGCTGAGGACACCGCCAGTTCTGTCTGCAATGCATAGTTCCTGTTTAGCTTATGCTTTTGTCTAACTTAATGGTACGTTTCCCTTTAACATGGAAAGCTGGCTTCCTATTTTTGTACAAAACCCTCCACAGTTATCAAACAAACAAAAACAAACAAAAAAGTGAATATGCTGTTAGTCCATTAGGTAAAACCAATGCCCGAGGCCCTGCTTCCCTCATCCCCACGCTGTGCCCGATTTGTGCCACAGCCGGGCATTCCGTGGGTGCCTTCAGCGAAGCCCGCAGAGCGCACCCGTCCAGAGGAGCAGCCCGCCCCGGGCCGGGATCCACCCACCCCTCGGCAGGGAGGCCCCGGCCGAGCTCCTCGCCCCGGGCCGCGGCCGTCACGGGGGCAGCCCCAGCTCGGCGCCGCTGGGGGAGCGGGGACAGCGCCCGCCGCTCTCGGCTGCCCCGCCGGGCAGGCAGCCCTCACCGCGCGGCCTGCCGCGGCTGCCGGGCC